ATCACAAGAAAAGGTGATTTAATCTCTTCCCCTATTACCAAGACCAATTGAAACCTTCCTCAAAGAAAGGAAACCACTGAAATACTGTCTTTTCCCCATTTCCAAACACAGCTCAGAAGGGTTCCATGACCAGCAATATCAACGGTTGCCAAGATGTAATGCAGGACCAGATTATTTCTACTACCCATATCTGCCAGAGATTGTCTACAAGAACAATCAATGAGAGACTAAGAAACAGGAAATATTATTTAGTTGATGTGAGAAGAAGCACCACAGCCCAGATATGGAAACCAGGAAAAAGAAATATTTTAAAGAGATTCTATCTTAATTGGTTTGTTATAAGCCTGCCTTGGGATTCATTTTCACAGTTTTCAAGACATGTTTTACTCTGACTAGCATTAAAGATGTTTCTTAAATTCTGAGATGTTTCACTTCTTGAATCTGTCAGCTAAGTGCAACCTAAGTGCAGCCTTGTCCATAATATACTAGGGTCTAAAGTCTAACTGAAGAGACAATCTACTTCATTCAGGGTTGCAGACTAGTCAAAAATGTTCCAACACTTCTAGATGTAGTTATGGCTTCCTGAAGACATGGAATTATCTGTCTTCCTGCCTAAGTAATTGCCTTCATTATTTTTCCCTAAAAGGGCACAGATAATCTAAAGAGGAGCACCAGTGGGCAATTGTGGGCACAATATATTTAGCCACTCTTCTTGCCTATTTCACTACTCTAAGACAAAGGTCCCAAAATCCCGGGGGCCCATTGAAAATCGGGCCACACAAGCAGCGGGGCAAACAGGCAAAACTATTTACACAAGCAGCGGGCATGCTTACTTGTGCATGAAGTTCCATTTTACAGGTGGCCAGTGTGGATGCCTGTTGCTTGTGGAAATGGAGCTTCGTGTGTGATGGTGAACACCTGCTGCTTGTGCAGAACCATCCCTCCACCCAACAGACGGCTTCACAGAGCAAAAAGACTGGAAGTCACTGCTCCAAGTGATGGAGAACCTGTGACCTTCCGATTGTTGCAAAGTTACATTTTCCATGTTTCCGTGATAGCCAAAAATAAGGGTTGTTGGGAGTAGGACACAAGTTTTTCACTCCCATTTTAACCATTGTTGTTATTGTTGTTGGTTTTGTTGTTAGAATATATTTCAATTGTGTAACTATATCAAACTTTCTATCTTTATCCAGATACAGCTTTCAAAATAACTCTTTACACCAATAACTAATGTAAGCTGCTAGAAATTGTTTTTCTCTACTCTTACTCTATGAAGGCTAAAGACATATACTGAAAATCCGTATTTTGACATTCAAATTCAGGTTGCAATAAATTCAGTAAAATGATATCAAAACATGCACAGAATTGCAGCATGATGTACTTTGATTTGTCATGTCAAATTAAGATAGAGGACCACACAGCAGAGTTGGGATGTCCAGGGACAACAGGAACATCTCTACCCTCTGTGCACAATACAATAAGGTGTTAGATATTAGATCTAACTACAGTGGTTTCCACCAAGGTCCTCTGTTCCACCGGAAACAGAGGTTTAATCCTATTGGTCGAAGGGTCTGACAGCTCTCTATAAAAGGGCTGCTATCAGACTCAACCTTCGCTGAATTGTTCTCACTTGTTGTACTCAATAAAGAGCTATTGTTACCGTTGAGCCTGTGTGTGCCTATCCATTACCAATCTAACATAAACAGTAAAGTAAAAAACAGTAAAGTAAAATAAACAGTAAAGTTAAAAAATTACATTAAATTTTGTTTGTTAGTGTGCCACTTTTATTCACCATCATCCTGGTTTCTATCTGCAATTTACCATATCATCATATTGTTCAGACCCAAAATGAAGGGCATCTTCAAAATCCAATCAGACTTTGCACTCAAGGTTTGCTATAAACCTTGGTTTCTAATCACAACTGTATTTTGGATATAGGCAAAAAAAAAAACCCTGCAAAATTCACTTACACAATTATGTGCCATTTATAAAGGGAAACTAACTAGGCAATATGAGCTTATAAGTTGCAAAGTAACACTGACAAACCTAGAATTGAAATCAGCATCGACCAACCCTCTATACCAGGGGTGTCCACACTTGGGAACTTGTGGACTTCAACTCCCTCTGCTTTATATACACACCGCCTCGTTTTTCAATATTGACAACTTTTACATGTGTGGACTTCAATTCCCAGATTCCCTTGGGCTGCTGTGAGTCGAAGTCCATACCAGGTGGAGGATCGCCGCTCTACGGGATGCGGGGATCCAAATTATCCCGCCGTACCTCTAACCCGATGGTTTTCCACTCTTTGCTTGAACGCTCCGGGAAGAAACCGGAAATTTCACAGGGAAACCTATTGGGTGGGTGGGAAATGCTTCCTTAAGGACGCTTGAACCGAACCTCGACTGAGCCTATTTAATTTAGTAAACCGATTTAATTTAGAAAAAGGCTTAATTAATGTCAATGGGTCCTTCGCTTCCCCCTATTCTTCATATACAACAGAGGCAAAGAGGTTCTTTGGTACTGCTGAATCTGAGGAGTCCTACCGGCCCCCAGCAATGGCCTATTCCCCCTCGGTCTCCACTTCCGTCTCCCGCCGCTTGAATACTCACCGAAGCAGCAGAAGCTCTGGAATCAACAGTTTCTCCCCGGGAAGAAGCCGTGTCAACCTTCTCCTCCAGCTGAGCGCAGCCGACGGGAAGCACTACCACTTTCCACTTTCGTTTCCCCGAGGCTCGCGCGGCTAAGGCTGCCCCCAGCCGAAATCTCGGCGAAATCAGCCCAACCCGCCGAGAGAATCGAAAGTCAAATTGTGCTCGGCGGGAAAACGCAACGCCCAGCTCGTAGCTTTCAGCTACGGCCAAGGCTCTCCCTGCTGCCGGCTCCCTGGGCAGGAAGAGGTAAGAAAAGGCGCGTCTGAAAGGCCAAGGTTTCGCGCTTTTCGCGGGAATGAGGCGGGGCAACCTGCAAACGGAGCTTCGACCACCAGAAAGGCTCTGCTTGGGAGACATGGCGGTGGGTCCGACCCCCCAGATGCCGGGAAAGCTTGCTGGTTTTGATAAGATGACTGCGGACGATTTCACCCATAGATGGTTGTGAGAGCGCAGGAAGGGAAGCTGTGGTCCCGAGATAAGATAAAGGATGTGCTTGGACTTCAGCAGAAGAAAGAAAAAGACGCCTCTGCTTCCTAAGTTTGGATGAAATTTAGCGAGATGGGTAACCCGAATGACAACGTGGGCAGCAGCGTTGGCCTCTGGCCTGAAATTACAAAAAACGAGGACAAGAGAAGTTAGAATAACTTTATTGTCACTTTGATTGTACGTTAATTGGCATACTTTAAAATGACAGTTCATTGCATACAGCTCTCCAAGGGTCACCATCTCCAATATACACTACATAAACATGACTAAATAAACAAACAAATAAATAAGTAAATGTAAAATTATGCATATACCCACAAGTATTATATGACATAGAGAAACAACATAGAAAAATACATTCTCTCCAAGCCAAGGAGGAATTCCTACAATAGCAGCTCCGTGGCGGCATCTTGCTGGGAGAGATCCTGGAGAAGGCCAGCAACTGCAAGTCCCTGTTAAGCAAAGACTAGAAGAATCCATTCACACATCTGGATCACAGAGGTACGCTGTTAATTATTTCTGTCTTGAAAAGAAACAATTTGATGGAAAATGCCCATTTTGAGATCATCTCCGTTTCCTCTTGAATCCAGTTGAAAACAGCCCTGAAAAGGATCTATTTTCAGTTCTATTCTGACATCAGGACTCTAGAACATAAGTATGGGGATATGTTTTTAGGTCTACAGGTCACAGAAAACAGCCCACCTGTGCTCATTGGTGAAAGAATTACCTGAATGCTTTATTTGTCCCCACCTCCACCTTTCCACTCAGTTGAGTGTTTAACAGCCACCCCATATCACTAAGTGAGTTTGAGTTAGTGAGTTTATTTCATTTGTATGCCGCCCTTTTCCCTGAAGGGACTCAGGGCCGCTCACAACTCAAGAGAAGTGGGATACAGACAGTTAACAACAACACAAAAACAATACATAGTTAAAACGCAACAANGGTAAACATGGAATAAAATAATGGGGTTAACATTTTTTCATAGGGAGAATGTGTAAATAAATGTAGTCTGTTCTTCTTATACAAAACAGGTTGAATTTCTCTGTGAACGGGGTGCTGATGTGAATAGGGGTCAAAGGTCATCATCTTTACATTATGCAGCATGTTTTGGAAGACCACAAGTAGCAAAGGTGAATTTTATAGTAACCATTTGACCATTGCTCTGCTTTTTTAAATAGTGCAACAGTAGAAATAAATTAACCTACCAATGTTCCTTTCTAAAGTGAACCTAAATTTGATTTAAGTATAGCACATACTTCCTGTGATGTACAATTTGAAAGAATTGTTTGTTTTATTGATTGCTCACTCATGAAGCACCTGTTCATCCATGCTTCTGGTTTTGTTCACTGATAGGTTCCTTACCAGCTGTCACAGTTCCAGTAATAAAAAATCATTTTCATATATCATCTGAAATATTTTCAAATGTATAGAAACTTTTTTTTTCTCCTTGCCATTTTTTATACATTCTTCTGTTACTTCATTTAGTCTCAAGGGCTTTTTTGGAAACCATCTTATCAGTAGGGTCAAAGATTTTATGTAATTTCAGGTATCTTCATTTCCAAGAAGCACAGTCTATTACCTTACCATGAAAGAAAGCTTTACATGGACCCCAAACTATCTCCAAATTGCCAAGTATCTTATTTAGTTGCGAGAAAAAACCCTGTCTATATCTTTTGTTGTTTTACAAAGTATGAAAATACCATTGCCCACTAATTAGGATGGTTTTGTGTAAAGTCAATGCTTCAGTTGCATGATTAGAAATTAAATCTGAACCAATATTATATTTTTCAAATAAATGTTTAGTGATAATCATTTGATTTGTGTAGACTCTTTTGAGACATGGTGCCAATCCAGATTTGAGAGATGAAGATGGAAAGACTCCTTTGGACAAAGCTCGTGAAAGAGGGCATAGTGAAGTGGTTGCCATTCTTCAATCTCCAGGTTAGTGTGAAAAGTTGCTACTTCGTTTTTCTTAAAATTCAGCTTCAATATGTGAATATCAAAATGCCCTTGGTTAGCATATTTTACAACATAATTACACTGATTTGTTTATTGTTTATAGTTTGAAATTCTGACTGTCCCAATCAGTGTTATCTACCATTGCCTTGGAAGTTCTAAAACAACTTAGAAATTATGAATCTTCATCTGGTATTGATTGTAGCATGTTTTGAACTATGAGGGGGGAAATAATATGTACAGCATAATTATGGGAGGAAAACATTAGTTCAGTTTGACATTTCTGAAACTGCAGTTCAGATATAGTAATACAATTATTAGCCAATTGCAAGATGATTGAAATAATGTTATGATTGCCTTATTATGGTACCAATTGTCAAATGTATAAATTGGCTAATATGTATTTTTTCTAATTATTTGTTTATTTTTTTATTTATTAGATTTTATAACTTCTATATTAGAGCTTCTCTTTGCTATGTTCATATTACAAAGTATTTAAACATATAGTACCCATAATATAAAAAATAACTATTACAAAAAATGAATATAGTAACAGAGCAATGTAAACATATATATGGAATTCCTTCAAAATACTATATTTAAAATGGACTTGGAAAAGTCCTATTTTAACTTGCTTCTATAAAGAAAATAATGTTTTTAACATTCATATTGTAAAACACCCAGTCAGAACTGGGAGTTCAACAGCATATAAATCATTACTATTATTAGAGCTGGTCTAACTTCCTGGGAGAGGTTGTTCCACAGTGTAGGATTACCATTACAGAGAAATGTCTCCTTCTGGTCTCAGTTTTTCTAACTTCAGAGAAGTAAAGAACTAGAAGTAATTTTCCCTGAGATGTTCATATTGGAACATCTCAGAATCAAAAGAATCAGTTCTAGTCAAATATAATATGGTCTTGAAGGTAGCTCAATACCAAGTCGTGGAGAGCCTTATAAGTTTAGAACCATTCTTTTGAATTGTACCCAGAAACAATTGGATCCATAACACAGGTCCCATAATGCAGAGATAATGTGCTGTGCCGATTAACACAGAGATCACTATATTTTTTATCAAATGCTGTTTCTGAGTCATCTTTAAAGATAGTCCTATTCAGATCACTTTGCAGTAGTCTAATTGACTGGAACTATCTACTGAAGAAGCACTGAAACTACTGGAACAGTTTCCTCAACTCTTAACAGCTGTTCCAGAACAATAGTATGGTTGATGGAATCAAAAATTACTGAAAACAGAACCAGAAGGTCTGGACAAATATAATCAACTGTTATAAGCAAGGGTATTTCTGTCTTATAACCAAGTCTGAATCCTTCAGAAAATGATTTAAAGTTTATTTAGTTCAGAATGTCTAAATAGTTTGCACTAATCAGCGCAACTAATCAAAATGTTTTTAAAAAAAATCTTTGATAGAAATTTCTTTAAACAAATTGTAGGTGACTGGATGTGTCCAGTTAACAAAGGAGATGAAAAGAAAAAGAAAGATGCCAATAAAGATGAAGAAGAATCAAATGAGCCCAAAGGTGATCCAGAAATGGCACCAATATACTTGAAAAGACTGCTACCTGTGTTTGCGCAAACATTTCAGCAAACTATGCTGCCTTCAATAAGGTAAAAAAGAAGGAAAAGGCTCTTTTCATGGATGTGAATTGAAATAAGAATCAGATTTATATTATTCTGACTTTAAAAAAAGACTTTCAGCTTGCTGATTCTTTCTCTCATATTACCATATTATTTATGCTTATTGTTATCTTACTACTCAAGATTGATTTTGAGTTTCAAACATTGTATTCTAATGTTGTTCTATAAAGGCATATTCAGGTAAGCATATGTGAGACGAGAAAATTGCAATAGAATGGAGCAACTGGCTGGAATAAAACTCTGATTTCAAGTGAAATAATACAAAGCAAGTAATTTGGCTTTAAATTCAAAACTTAATATGTAATTCCCAAAAGTATTATTCCTTTTAATTTTAAAAAAAATGCTATTTCTCTTGTATAGAAAAGCAAGTCTTGCTCTCATCAGAAAAATGATTCACTTTTGTTCTGAAGCTCTTCTCAAAGAAGTTTGTGACTCAGACGTTGGACATAATTTACCTACAGTATTGGTAGAGATCACTGCTACTGTTCTAGATCAAGAGGTATTTTATTTTTATACATTTTATTTTCTTCTAGCAATGTGCAAATCAGTATGAACCAGAAAGTCCCTATTGTGAGTTTGAAAAGGGCAATTTCAATTATTTTGGAAGTATTTTAAGTTTCTCAAATGGTCAAATAGTGTTAATATGAAACAGCTGTTTTATGCGCAAAATTAAATTCAAATTCAAATGTTTTGCACCTCATTTTTGAATGTCTATAATTTTGTGCTATAAAAGTATATAGATTCTATAGAAATTACATAATAAAATTTCAATCACTGCCAATAAAATAAGATCTCAATTAATTTGGATGAATCCCATCTGAGGTATCATTTGAACATAATTTTGAGCAACTTACAGGTAGCCCTCATTTAGTGACTGTCTTGGGCAACGACTGTTTAAAGTTATGATCAAGATAAAAACTTATGACCCTTGCAGCATCTCTCTCAGTCATATGTACACCAATATAGTACATTTTTTCCTTTTTTGCTCCCTTGCAAAGAGATTGCTTAACAAGCAATATGTTCTCGAGCATTTTTTTCTCTGTATCTCAGTGCTTCCCCAAAATATGCTAATCCCAAAATAACAAGCTTAGTTCTTGGCTTTAATTAGCCAGCTCCCTACTGGTACTGACAAGATTTTAATCACCTTCACAGTTTCTGGTTGTATTTTGCTGTTGAGCATTCCCAAGCTGACAGGCATAGAGCCACTGCTATATTTCTTTCAATAGGTATTCCCCACTGTGTATCCATGTACTCCCTTGTAATCCCTTTCTCTCCAATGAATGTAAATTCAAGCAATTCCCTCTTGCTAAAAAGTGCTGAGGGTTTTTTAAATTTATGTTACTTTTGCAGGATGACGATGATGGCCATTTATTAGCTTTGCAGATCATAAGAGATTTAGTGGATAAAGGAGGTGATCTTTTCTTGGACCAACTTGCTAGACTTGGTGTAATAAGTAAAGTATCAACTTTGGCTGGACCGTCTTCAGATGATGAGAATGAAGAAGAGTCTAAACCAGAAAAAGTAAGAATTTTATCCGGTATTTAACCATAGTTCTATTAAATTTTTGAAATTTTGAATTCAGTGACAAATGTAGAGAATTGTAGTAATGGCTTTGCTCTTCTTACAGGCAAAATATGCAAGAGGATATATATTTATGCAGCAAGATGTTCTTTTCACATATTTCTGTTTTGAAGACAGGTTTAGATTTTCAGAACCTGCTGGGAAACTTTTTTTTTTAATTGTGAATTGTTGGTTCTAGGGTGAACAGCACAATCTTATGTTACAACTCAGAGTAGTTTTCTGTGTGTGGCGGGGGAACTATTTGTCATATTTAGAGGCAGCCTCATTGGAAAAGAAAATAATTCAATTATTGCAGTTGTCAGCCTCAGGGCTAAACTATAGAACGCTAGTCCTAACTTTTAGTAATGAAATACAAATGTGATTTGAAATAGAATTCTTGGAATTAGTCATAAAGTCTGCTAGAGAAGCAGTTTAGTGTACACAGCTTGTAAATAGAGGCAAGCAATTTAATGGAACCATTCATAGTTAAATTCTTAATTTTTCTAACTTCATTTAACATGTGCTGATTGATAAAATAATATAGTTCTGGTCCAAAAGCTACCATGTTAAGGGAGACTTAATACTGTGTTCTACATGGACCCTAAAACTATATTAGCTGCTTACAATTCAAAAAGAAAGATTTGCAAAATGCATTGGTCTCTTTTATACATGTTTATGCTTCTTAATCTATACTTGGAAGAAAGTATATGAAAGTTAGAATTGATGTATATCCATAATGTGTTTTTTCTTAAATATATCACAGTGCTTCTTCAAGTTATGGTTGCTCATTGAAATTCAAAGAAGAAAGAAAGTGCAAGAAAGTTGCCTATAGATAATCTTGCTGTATTTTACCATTTATAACTGATTACACAGAATTTTATATTATAATATACATTAGAACTTTATGAATATGCTAATATAAATGGATTGATTTGGTAGTTTCCTTTTTTCATTCAGTTTCTTACATTTACCAGTGAAAAGTTTCCCTTTTTCATCAATTTGTATTTTTTTATAAATTATGTAAACATTTATGGTAATCTTTTGTCTGATCTTTTTTCTAGTGCTTTTTTTCATTGACAGGCTCTTATAAAATTGGTAAAACTGCAAAATCATACTTGTAACCTTCAGAAAGTGCAAACTGAGTTAGTTTGCATTAAAATTGGTGTTGTTGTTTTTTTTAAAAAACAACACTACCGCCGGTTTGCTCGTGTGCACGCCACACACACATACACTTGATGTGCATTGTGCATGCATGCGCAGTGCAATAAAAATTGTTCTGCACATGCACAGTAGTGAAAAACAAGATGACTGGTCCTATGGCGCCGTCCGGAGAACCAGTTCGGGGGCATGGCAGGCCTGGTCGCTGCCAGTTCCAGTGACCCAGGCCGCTAAACCACTACCAGTTTGACTGAAGCGGTCCGAACCAGTAGGAACCCACCACTATGTACATTCAAGTACCTTAATTTTGATTTACAGGAAGATGAACCTCAAGAAGATGCCAAAGAATTGCAGCAGGGTAAACCGTATCACTGGAGAGATTGGTCAATTATTAGAGGAAGGGACTGCCTGTATATTTGGAGTGATGCTGCAGCCTTGGAACTTTCAAATGGGAGCAATGGATGGTTCAGATTTATTTTGGATGGGAAATTAGCTACAATGTATTCCAGTGGCAGTCCTGAAGGAGGATCTGACAGTTCAGGTACAATCTTGTTATCAAATAATATTTTAAAGAGTTAATTACAAATTATTTTTTATATGTTTGATTTTGAGATGTTCTGTTTTACAGGAATTGCCTCCCTAAATAGTAAAGGATGTAAACAGGTGGAAGGTGGTCAGTGATGCTTTTGTCAAATTGGCATGTAACAGTAACTTCTAGTAACTCTGTTCAGTGAACATCGTAGCTTCATGTTTTCATTCTTTTCTATGCATACTAATATTAAACAATCATTAAAGGGTAATGCATAAGAATGATAAACTGCATTCCAGGTACAGAAATTGGAATGATGTGGCTTGCATCTGGCTAGCAGAATGAAATGCATGTACGTGTGACAAGTAGTGGAAACTTCCTCAACCAACCTGAAATTGTGACAGACATTCAGCAGAAATGTTTCACATTGAATTTTACTAAGCTGTCTGTAGTTTTTAAACTTAATAGATATTGCCTGCTGTCTCCTTTTAGTAGTTTTTTATAATTGCAACAACTAATTTTTAAATATTAGGAAGTAATAGTAAAAATAGCGTGTAACGGAACTATAGGATTGCTGTAGTATAACTTAAGATTCAAATTCTCAGGAAATGTCTTTTCCCATGATGTGAAGCTAAAAGAATACTGTGAGGATTTATTCTGAATAAGTTTGTGATTGATAACTGAATTCAGTTTCAGAAATTTTAAGAAATACTTTAATTCCCAAGTTGGTGCCGGAGTGTGAGTGTGTATGAACAGCCATCTAGCTTCAAAGCTAGTCATATACTCACCTAGTGCAGAAGACAGTCTCCACTGGACTGGCTGGATCAGGGAGTTGCTATGTCTGAATAGAATAGCTGTCTAATTTGGCACAATTTTTCTAGTCCTGAGAAGTATTTTTATTGCATTTTTGCATACTTCAAAATATGTTTTCAATTCCTTTCGGATGGGGTTATGTCTTGGTTCATTCCTTAAATTGAGCTGGGTCCTTTATCCCTCAGTCCTGTATATGAATCTTGTCAAAAATGGGCATCTCTCAGTGTTTCTCTGAAAGAAAAAATAGATCACCAAAAACAGTAAATTATAAATCCTTCAAAGGTTGCCTAGAAATTTTAAAAAAATTATGTAGTTAAAATAACAACAACCAACAATAGACCAGCAGCTTTCAGGGTAGAAAACATAGGTGGAAGATCTTCACAGCAAGTAGATCACATTGTAAGGCATTTATAGGCCATGTAATGCTGCTTTCAGATTTTCCATAAATCTTTCTTAGGGTGGAGGTATTTAGTATGAAGGTTTTGCCTTTATGCTAGAAGTCTGCCTGTGTAGTTTCACATGTCTACATTGTGCTACTGATTCCTGGAATAATTGTGTGGGCTTGGGTAGGAATCATCATGATTAAGGTACTTAAAACATAAGTACTTGGGGCATGATTGAACAGCCGTACTTAGTTGGATTAAGAGTTTTAATGGATGTTGAATGAACGTGAATAATGCAGTCTATTGTAGAATATATTCTATGAGAGAAAGAGAAAGTAGTTTTAAGACTTGTGCTGTAGTGAAAATATAGGTACAAAACAAATTTTATGCAATTATGCAGCATTGCATTGATATAGTTTGCTATTGTAGCAGATTAAACAATTCTAAATGCTTCTCACAATAAGATGAAACTTGTGAAATATCTTTTTCTCCTTTAATTGCTTGTCCAGTCCAATCCTTTCTTCTTTCAGAATTTAAATGCTTCCTTTTAAATATCAAACAGAAAAATGGTGGAATTTCTGTTAGTAAAAATAAGATGTTAACTGCCTAATTTGGTTTCTTTCATTGTTTTAAAAATAAATTGATTGCATTTAATTTTTTTCAGTACATTACCCAAAGCATATTAATGTTATATTGCCCTCTTAAGTTTCATTATTGTAAACTGCTTTATTATCTGATCAGTGTTTAAACAGTCCTGAGAACTTGAATCCAAAACCTAAATTTGCACTTGTTTCATGAGATACATGCTTTCATGGAAACTAAATTAAGTATTAAATATAAATTATTTTTTTATTATTTTTTAATAGAAAGCCGAAGTGAATTTTTAGAGAAGTTACAGCGGGCTCGGAGTCAGGTAAAGCCATCCACAACCAGCCAGCCAATTTTATCAGCTCCAGGACCTTCAAAACTTACAGTAGGAAATTGGTCTCTTACCTGTCTAAAGGAAGGAGAAATTGCTATTCATAATTCAGATGGTCAGCAAGCTACAATCTTAAAAGAAGATCTACCAGGTTTTGTTTTTGAGTCCAATAGAGGAACTAAACACTCATTTACAGCTGAAACTTCTTTAGGTGAGTATACAGTTTTATATAATGAAGAGAAATACACACACACACACACACACACACACACACACACACACACACATATGTGTGTGTGTGTGTGTGTGTATGTGTATATGTATATATATGCATGCTAGTCTTGTTGTATTCGGGTCTTTTCCCCTGTAAGATTGAGATTGTCTTGGCAACGTTTTGGCAAGGTCCCATCTTCAGGCTGGTGTTTTTGGCTTCGTACTTGTGCGAGTAAGGCATGGTCAGAGCTGTCATCTTTCTATGAATCTTGGTGTGTGTGTGTGTGGAATGCTGGCTTTGTTGCTGTAAGTGGGTTGATTGGCTGTGTAGTTGCATCCTGATTGGTAGATGGAGATGCTGTTTGTAGATTGGTGGGCTGTTTCATATCCTGTGTGGCTGAGGTGCTGGCTGTGTGTCCATTGTTCTTTTGTGTTGTAACGACCTGGGTGGTGGGTGGGGTTCGTTTGTTGACTAACACTGGTTTCCAGATGTCTGGTAGGTGGGAGGTATCGTCATGTTTATTCATGTTGAGGGGGTGTTTCTTTATTTTGATGGCTTCCATAATTATTCTCTTGTTGAAGTGTTCTGTTTTGGATATTAATTTGGTTCCTTCAAAATCAATTTCATGTCCTGTTGCTTTAAGGTGCTAAAAAGGGAGGAAGCTTTTTCTTCTTTTCTGACTGCGTTCTTTTCTTCTTCGATGCATGCATTTATTCTATTAGTTTGTCCAATGTATGTGGCAGGGCAGATTTTGCATGGTATTTCGTAGACTCCTTGATTTTCTAGCTGGATCTTGTCTTTGGGGTTTCTTAAGATGTTGGCTATGTTTTGGTCAGTGTTGAAGGCTGTCTTGATATTGTGCTTGTGGAGAATTTTGCTGATTTTGTCTGTGGTGCCTTTGATGTAAGGGAGGAGGGCGATGCCTTTGTCCTGTTCTGTGTCTCGTTCTTTGGGGGAGACTCCCTTTGGATTAGGTTGGTAATTGTTTTTCTTTGGAATCCATTGGCAATTAATACGTTTGTGAGAGTGTGTAATTCAGTTTTCAGGTGGTCTTTGTCAGCAAGGCATTTGGTTCTGGAGATGAGTTAAGAAACCCCAAAGACAAGATCAGGACTAGAGCTCAGGATGTCATCACACAGCCCATTACCCAGGTCGTTAAAACACAAAAGACTAATGGGCACACAGCTAGTATCTCAGTCACACAGGATGTTACGAAACAGCCGACTAATCGGGTACTGCCGGTTCAGTGCGCAAAAAAATTTGCACGCACTCCACACGCATTCGCATTTACACCTAAAAACGTAAGAAACGCAGAACGTAAGAAAAGAGGGGGGAAATTACATTTCTGCAATGAATATTATTCTGTGCATTTGCAGAAGCAAAAATAAAGATGGCGCCGCCGACAATAGAACCAGTATGGGTGTGGGGGGGGATGAGTTACTACCTTCTTGGCCGAACTCGGCTGAACCGGTAGGAACCCACCTCTGATATATATATGTTTGCAGTTTTCTGGTTTAGCAGCTGGATTCTTATTCTCTGGGAGATATATCTGGTTTGTAGAAAATATTTTAAGACAGGTAAATATAACAGTGGATTAACAAATCCAGAATTATGCATATTAAAAATTTTGCATAATATTTGATTATGCAAACTTCATCTGAACAGGAGTCTGACAACTGTATTATATTGGGGTTCAGTGGCAACCTAATTTTTAGCTGTTGTTTTTCAGGATCAGAATTTGTGACTGGTTGGACTGGAAAACGGGGCAGAAAACTAAAGTCCAAGTTGGAAAAAACAAAACAAAAGGTTAGGATAATTTCTGCCAATTTTAAATAGCTTAAATGTCTTCATTTTTAACTGCTCCTTATATATGCTGTTTGCTAGTCAGATATACTTCAAATGGTAAGCCTGCCTATATTTTAAAAGAAATGAAATAGTAACTTCAGCTATGAAAGAGAAGAAACCTTACTGTCATTTTTTAAAAAATGAATACAATAACTCAGGAATAAAGAATAGGGCTAAACTGAAATACTGCCTGTTACCACTTCACATCTATATTGGTGGGGGATGTATATATCATCTAGAAGCACAATATTATCTGTTCCAAAGACATATTTTATCTGCAGATGCCTAACAAGAACCACAGAAACAGCAGACCTTTCATACACACATCATAATAGTGCTATAGCCATTTTGGGCATGATTAGAGACAGAGATGTAAGGTCTGGTTCTGTTCAGCAAAAGAGATCTGGAAAAAAATTAATTGACTTGATTGAGAGACTATATTATAAATGACACCTGTGGAACTCAGCATTTTCAATTTGCAGAAAGGTTATGTATATTTTAATAATTTTATGTTACATATTCACAATTACACATAATTAGTATGGTTTTATTTTCCATCCAACTTTCTATCTGAATTCAAGATGACTTTTGTAAAAATTTAAATGTAGATTTTTTTTAAAAAAAAACAAGAAATTAAAATTGCTAAAGCAAAAGATAAAATCAAACAGTAAAGATCTTTCAACAGCCTTGATTTTTTTTAAGTATAAAATATTTTTAATGAGCAATCTCTCACATCTCTGGAAGAGGCATTCCATGGGTGTTGATGGCTCGACCAGCCTAGAAACAACAGTGCTGTTGTTTGTAAAATTTCACTGAGACTCTGAATTGTACCTTTTTAAAGATTAATCCATATTAGAATTCATAGCTTGTGACTCTTTGGTATCTAAAATTTGAATTCCTGGCTTATCATTCTCTGGAAACTAAAACTAACTGGTAGCCCTACAATATTGTTAGGTGATTGGTAATTAGGAGTTTTCATTCAGACATAACATGATATATTTCTGATTGATTAATGTTTCTTCTAATGAGAGGAGCTAAGTAAGAACAATTTCACAGTGTATTAATATACTGATTATGTAGAATCAGATTTCACTGATAGTTTGGCTTATTGTTTGCTAATTAATAATTTCCGTATGTATTACTTTTATAAACAAAACATATCCAGAAACCTCAGAAAATTATTAATATGAGTGTGTATGTGTATGTATGTATGTATATGTATGTATATATATATATATATATATATAAAACTTACAGTATTTTTATATCTCTTTATCAGGTACGAACTATGGCCAGAGACTTATATGATGACCATTTTAAAGCGGTTGAAAGTATGCCTAGAGGTGTAGTAGTAACGCTCAGGAATATAGCAACTCAATTAGAGTCTTCATGGGAACTTCATACGAACAGACAGGCAAGTTTCATTAGTGAAATGAAATATTGACATAGTTGTTTTTCTGTTGACATTCACTTGATTCAAACATAATTCTCTTCTCAACCACTAACCACTTATTGCATGGATATCCTGGAAATATCCTCAAGATCATTTTAATTTGACATAGAAAATGTTACTCCTGTTTTAAGAAATACCCATTCAACCCAGATGTACCCTGTTTCCCTGAAAATAAGACCTCCCTGGATAATAAGCCCAATTGGGCTTTTGAGTGCATGCTCTAAAATAAGCCTTCCCCCAAAAATAAGCCCTTCCTGAAAATATTGCAATACAGCAGCAGCCATGAGGTGACCACGCTCGCCACCTCCTGCACTTTGAAAATAATAAGACCTTCCCGAAAATAAGGCCAAGTGCTTTTTTTTGGGGGGGGGGGGCAAAAGAAAATAAAAGCCTGTCTTATTTTGGGGGAAACATGGTAGTGGACAATTAGTGATCTATTTTCAATGTCCACTTTTTAGGAGAGGATTGCAAAGGAAGTAATTGGACTGTTTTTGCAAAAATAGAAACATTTTAGCCTGGGTTTATCGAGAAGAGGGCATTGACCACAGTGCCAATCTCTGGGTAAAAGTAGTTTCAATCATGTTATTCTGAGCTGTTTAAAAGTATTAGGCATGGGAGAAATTATATTATAATTGTTCTCCTTGAAGTAAGGGTTCTTTGGAGGACGATTGAGCCCAAGCTCATTAATTGGGGGTGTTGAAGACCTCAGTTATACCCAATTGTATATCCTGGCCCCTGGTACTGTCCAGATCTAGATGGAAAAGAACTGAGTGACATTCAGCCCAGCAAGACAGATTTCTACGCCTTCTCTTTCTAGCAAAATTACACAAGTTTGAACAGTGTTTATTTGTTTATTACAATTCTATGTTGCCTGAGTCACCGTTATGCTGGGTTTAAAGTTTGGGAACTCTTGCTGACTCACAGTTCATGCACGAGGAGCAAGCAGCAGCTGTGGCCAAGACAGCCTTTATATAGCTTCATATTATGTGCATGTTGTCACCTTTCCTGGAATGGCAAGAAATTACTTATAGTCACTCATGTCTTAGTCATCTATTTATTGGACTGTTTTAACATATTCTACATGGGGCTGCCATTAAGAACATTTATGAACTATATATACCTCATCCAACAACTTAAAGTGATGGGTACACCCAGAAATACTTGTTTATATTGTAAGAGGTGCTAGGATAACTACTTGACAGGCTCCTTAATCCCAATTTTTCTGGTATAGCATCCCTCTTCAGTGTGCAGATGCCACCCTTTCTCTTGATTTTTAGAAAACTGGTCCAAACCTTGTTCCATCAAGCAGGAGGGTTGAATTGTAAACTTTTGGATCAGAGTTCCCCCTCCCCCCCAATTAATGCTGTTTATGTTTTATTCATAATTCCTGGTTTCATAAAATATCACGAAGGACTCTTGATTATATAATTGATACATAATCAATTATATGATTTTAATGCCAATATATTGGAGAGTTACAATGTAGAATTTTTCTGACCTCTTAATACTTAAGCTAAGTTATATTTAGTTGTCACAAAATATTCCACATATTACATATATGAAAACTGTTCTTGTAAAATTCTTATATGTGTAATCCGACCATCTGTGTAGAATCTGTGTCATTAATGGGAGAATTATTACTTCATTCTCTTTTAGTTTATTGAGGGAGAAAACACTTGGCGAGATTTAATGAAGACTGCCCTGGAAAATTTAATTGTCCTGCTAAAGGATGAAACTACAATTTCACCATATGAAATGTGCAGCAGTGGCTTGGTGCAGGCTCTCCTTACTGTATTGAATAATGTAAGTTTATTGCGGGACTAGTATAATATTGGACTAGGAAGAACGGAATCCAAATTTTCACGCAGCTATATAATATACAGTTGACCTTTGTCATTTATTTTCCTACCAACTTGTTAGAAGAATGCAGAAATGCATTCTAACCAACACCTTTTAGGCTCAATTGTGGTCACATCGAGACTACTTGAAATTTTAGGCTCAATTGTGGTCACATCGAGGACTACTTGCATATACTTTAGTTTACATTTTTAGTCTTTTTTTAGCCCTGCAAAAGGCTTTCTGCTTTAGATAATATAATGGCAATTGACTTAGACCTATGTGATTGTTATCAAAACTCTGGAACTGTGTCAAATAAGTTAAATCTATTGTAGGACATATTTTGTAGGACATATTCACGAAGATGGACATTGTGGGTATGTTATTGGAGGTTTCTCTGAACTCATATCTTCGTCAGAAATATTATTTCAATTTGATTAATAGATTTAAGATAGCATAAGAGATGGTTTATGCTTGACATGGCTTTTGGGACCCTTTTGGAGCTAAGGAATTGTGAGATGAAAAGTCTTTCAATATGATTGCTTCCAAATTTTCTCTCTTGTGTTGTGAAGCTAAATAAGCTCCCCTACAGTCATCTTTGACTGTATGTGCATGAAACACTGTTACATTCCTAGTTAGTGATCTGGTTTTCATATTGTGCCATGATGTGGGTGGATAAAAGAATTATATCGAGAAATTGGGGAAGTGATATTCCTGATGTTAAGAAATGGCTTTTGGAAATGTGTGGCCTGTTGTGAAAAAGACAATACAGGTAAAATCCTCAGTTTAGGATTAAAATGTATGCTGCTGATAAATTTGTTAAGTGAGTTTTGCCACATTTTATGACTTTTCTTGCCACGTTTGTTAAATGAATCACTGCAATTTTTAAATTAGTAACATGTTTGTTAAGTGAATCTGACTTCCCCTTTGACTTGGCTTGTTAGAAGGTCATAAAAGGGCATCACATGACCTCAGGACACTGCAACCATCGTAAATATTAGTCAGTTACCAAGCATCTGAATTTTGATCACATGACTGTGGGGATGCTGCAACAGTCGTGTGAAAAACGGGCGTAGGACACTTTTTAAGCACCGTTGTAAAATGGCCACTTAAATGAATGGTTGTCAGTCGAGGACTGTGATCTGTACTTTATTCTAATCAAAGAATGAAACAATATGTCTACAGGCAGAAATTTTGTGATATTTTACAATAATATTTTGTAGTGACTGGTTTTCAGTAATTTATGATATCACTTAATAGTAATTAATGATAATTTTAATATATAAAGTAGATGATTTTCTTTAGCTTTTTTATCATTTTCCATTTATATTACTTTTTCTTTGAATTTAAATGACTTCATATAATTGTTTCCTTGAGTATATTTAGTATTTTCTCAAGATTTTGCAGTTTGAAAAAGCATTGTGCAAAGCATGTGAAATATGTATAAATGCCTGGGTTAGCATAATAAGGCAAAAAACTCTAAATTTTAACAGCATGATAAGTGGCTCTAACTAATACAGATATATGTTCTATTTGATTAAGATTCATTCATACTTAGTGTGTGGCCTGTTTTTTTTTGCTAGCATTAAATAGTGTTTTCTTATCTTAGAATATGGATTACGATTTGAAACAAGACTGTAGTCAATTAGTGGAAAGAATAAATGTGTTCAAAACAGCTTTCAGTGAAAATGAAGATGATGAAAGGTAACTTAAAGTCACTGAACACATTACAAATGTATTATGACATGATAAACATTTTATAATGTTTCCAACAGTAAAAACAAACAAATATTGTATTAAATCACCCCCCAAAAAATTATTAACCAATGATTGATTGAATTTGCCCATTTCTTAGGGCAGTGCTATTCTCCTTCCCAGTATATATGGATTATTGCTACAGTTCTCTGCACTTAGCAGGGAACTGCCATTTTTTTAGAACATTTTTTATTCCCCATGTTTAGCTATGTGAACAATATTTTCTAATAAATGGAATTTGATAGTTTGGTACATTGTACACTGTGTCTAATTTGATTTTTTTTTTTAATAATATATTCTCCAAACATTTTATACTGCTTGTTTTCTCTTTGTTCATAGTCGTCCAGCAGTTGCATTAATTAGGAAATTGATAGCAGTACTGGAATCTATTGAACGACTTCCGTTACATTTGTATGATTCACCAGGATCATCATATAATCTCCAGGTAATTTTTCAGTCCTATGGAAATCTGCTTTGTCATGTTGTTGAGGAAGTTACAGTTTACAGCTATATGATTTTTTAAAAAAAAAAATACAAATTCAAAGACAAACATTAAAATAAGTGCTGTTATTTAACAATTAATTCAAGAGATTTGATTCTGAAGGAAGGGTGGTGGGAGGTGCAATTCCTGCACAAGTGCATTCCATAACTTGGGAATTTTATAGGGCCTCATTCTTAACTGCCGGTCTTTGAATGCTGATAAAGTTCCAGATAATATACATTTGCCCTTTTTTACCTAGAATTGATATTGTTCCATTTATATAACCTGGAGATGAGGCTAGGATCCTTGTCCTTACCCTTTCTTTTATTTTTATATAAAAGAAGATGAACAAGATTAGCCAGATCAGTAGGCACATTGATGAATTCATATTTACAATCAGCTGAGATGCAAGAGAGTGATGAAACCCTTATTATTGAGTTTTCTTTTTTCCTTAAAAAAACAATATCTCTGAATTGCATGTTTTGGCTAATGTTCAGCTAATCACCAATATTTATTATTGGAGCATATGACAGAATCTCCTTGGCAGGTATGTTTGGAAGAGATATGTTAGATCAAACAATAGCATTTGTTGTTATAGTTCTTTGGTTAGCGTATATGAACTGGTTTGAAGGACAGTGTTCGGCTCCATGTTATGTGGTCCAGTTTCTTGTGATCTGTTGAGTTATAACTTTGTTTGCAGCATGGTTGTTCATTGGTCTTTAAATGCTGCCTATGGGATTGTGGTTGGTGTTCTTTCATTCTAAGCTATAAACATTGACATTGACCCAATCTACCAACCTTTTAGAATGAAAGAATAACATCAACCATAATCCCAAAGGCAGCATTTAAATACCAACGAACAGCCACGCTGCAAACAAAGTTATAACTCGACAGATCACAAGAAATCAGACCACATCACAAACAGCCGATCAAATCAACCTGAAACTGGACCATGACATCCTCAGAAGACATCCAAACAATACCAGCACTAATTTACACCACACAGATGTACTTAAAACCAAGGACTATGACTCAGCAATTACAGCCAGCCAATCACAACCTGAAATTAGACCAGGACTCAGAAAGACATTTAAAGGCCAGTGTTCCCATAGACAAGAACAATCCAAAGCGCACTGAAGATGTCTTCTCAAATGGGGACGAAATGTTTGCAACCAAATTGCCAAGCTTGAAGCTCAAACCAACAACAAATTTCTTCATTATTTCAGAAAAGGACATTACACTCAAACTATCATTTTGATATATGAATGTAATGTGTACTGAAATTAGTTCTCAATTTCCCAGAATAGGAATATTTGCTTTAATTTAAAATTGTACGTTTCGGAATTCATTAAATTAAAGTAAAACTTTGTTACATTTTCTATAGATATTAACAAGACGGCTACGATTTCGCTTGGAACGTGCTTCTGGGGAAACAGCTTTGATAGACAGAACGGGTCGAATGTTGAAAATGGAGCCTTTGGCAACAGTAGAATCTTTAGAACAATATCTTCTTAAAATGGTGAGCAAAATCCTTTTCGTTCATTTTGCAAATATCAGGTATTCTGTGAAGCTTTGGTAACAATCATATTTTTTTAGGTGGCAAAGCAGTGGTATGACTTTGATAGAGCTTCGTTTGTTTTTGTACGAAAACTGCGGGAAGGCCAGACATTTATTTTCAGACATCAGCATGATTTTGATGAAAATGGAATTATTTACTGGATTGGAACAAATGCCAAGTAAGACGTCAGGAATTTAATCAATTTAAACATTTCTTAAATAGTTTTTATAAAAACAGTCGGGATCTATTTCACTGTTCATGTGATTTCAGTTTATTCTTCTAAAGTTAGGAAATGTAGAAGATTAAACTGATTATGTTATTTATGTTAGCTGTTTAAATTTAATTCTTTCATCAGTAACTATGATTAGTTTCTCAGTTTGAAATGTATAATGTGGAAATACAAAACTTTACGCTTGCATGAATTATATAAAATATGACTTAATTTGTTCTGCTTTAAACTTATGTATTGATTCATGAATATTAATGTTGTTTTTGTTGTAGAACAGCATATGAGTGGGTAAATCCAGCTGCCTATGGGCTAGTCGTAGTTACATCTTCAGAAGGAAGAAATCTGCCATATGGTCGTTTAGAAGACATCTTAAGCCATGAGAGTTCAGCTTTAAACTGCCATACTAATGATGATAAAAATGCATGGTTTGCAATAGATCTTGGTCTTTGGGTGATACCATCTGCTTATACCCTGCGCCATGCTCGTGGTTATGGACGATCTGCTCTCAGAAATTGGGTTTTTCAAGTTTCTAAGGATGGACAGAACTGGACAACTTTATACACTCACGTTGATGACTGTAGTCTAAATGAACCTGGGTATGTTTTTCTTTTGTTACATTTGCATCTGTGATAATAGTATACATTTAGGCTAATAATATTATGAAACATTCTGAACTGACTAAATAAACAAAGAATAATCTCTGGTACTAATGAATTCAGGAGTGTTTCTTGCATTCTTGAACTTTTTTGTGATTTATGGAAGTATTATTTTGTCATTATTTTGCTTCCAGATCTTGGTTTTTTTTTAAGGCTTTATAGTATACACTGTGTTATATTGTGAAGTAGAGTGGAGCACTGATTCTTTATTTTCAAGGTGCCTGGCTTTTTAAAATATTTAATGCTTTATACCCCAAAATATAATTTTGTGAGAGTGTTTTTGCTCATGTAAGTCTATTTTTTTTAAAAAAATCTGTAATTTTTGGTGCAATTTTCCCAAATGTAAAGTTCAACGGCAACCTGGCCACTAGACTCACCGAAGGATGAAAAACAAGGTTGGAGACATATAAGAATTAAACAGATGGGAAAGAATGCCAGTGGGCAGACACACTATCTCTCCCTGTCAGGATTTGAACTTTATGGCACTGTCAACGGTGTATGTGAAGATCAGTTAGGTAAGCAATGTAAAGTAATTGATTTTTCATTATAATAATAACATTTGTTGTAATTTGGGCTCCTAAATTGTCTATTTTCCCAATATTTGTTGATGGCCATAAAGCAGAGGTAGGATTCAATTTTTTTTACTACCGGTTCTATGGGCGTGGCTTGGTGGGTATAGCAGGGGAAGAATACTGCAAAATCCCCATTCCAGCTGGGACTTGGGAGGCAGAGAATAGATTGGGGCAGGGCCAGTCAGAGGTGATATTTACAAGTTCTCTGAACTACTCAAAATTTCCGCTACCAGTTCTCCAGAACTGGTCAGAACCCGCTGAATACCAATTCTGCCATAAAGAGAATTTAATGTGACTTAATCAGTTTGGGTTTCATTATTGCATTTCAGCTACTTTGAGCCAGATTAGAATGTCTGATGATACATAGATTGAGTCAAAACAGGGTTTATTGTTGGGACCCAGCAGGATTCAGTTGAGCTGCTGATGGACTCGGATAGTGAGGAACCATATGACTCTGCCAGGGAAGATGTGGAGGTCGCTGGGCAGGGTTCAGACTCAGAGCAGGGACCAGAGAGGCTAGTTGGCCACCAGGAGGCACCTGGGGCATGGAGCAGTGGGGAGGATCCAAGGCAGTTTGTCCCTGACGCAAGCGTAAGAAGGGTGGAGAAACGGAAGCAGCAGCTCTGGAGGCAGACTCAGAGACAATAATTAAGCCCAGGTGGTTGTGGCTTGGCCCCTCCCAAGAGAGTATATAAGTGGAGAAGTTGGGAGGGGACATTTGCAGGAACACAACCATTTGAAACAGTATTGGAAAACTCTGTCTTGTATCCATGCCTGTTGGATTTTGGGTTGCTGCCAACTATTCTTGCATGTGAGTCTTGTCTGGGTTTTCAGCCAAAGGAGCGATAATTCCGTGATTAAAGAGTGGCAAACAGCCAAGCCTGTGTCTGAATGATTCGCAGGTTGGAGGGAGGGTCAAAACAGTTTATAATCCAAATTTCACATTTGTTTAGGAAAAGCAGCTAAAGAAGCAGAGGCTAATCTGCGAAGGCAGAGACGACTGGTTCGTTCTCAGGTTCTGAAATACATGGTTCCAGGTGCTCGTGTCATCAGAGGAATTGACTGGAAATGGAGAGATCAAGATGGTAGTCCCCAAGGGGAAGGCACTGTTACAGGTGAATTACATAATGGTAAGCAGATTATTAAAATAACTTCCTGTTCTCAAAAGACTATTAAAATAGTCTTATTCTTACATATTTAATCTAAGTGAGTGGGAAAATGTTTATTCAGAAATCATAAATACGACCAATTTCGTTGTATTTAAGTACAGTGACAATAAAGATTATACTTATTGCAAAAACAATAATTGGTACATTTGATTGATAATTTGCTTATAAGTCATTTTGCTATTCCATTTTGGGATAAGCAACATTATATGGAGTAAGAAAAAAGAGTAAGAAATAGAAACCCCCAAAATAATGACATGGGAAACAGTAAGAGAAAGAAACTTAACTAAAGCTAATTTACTCCAACATTTCATCTATACATTTCTTTCTATTCTTAAAAAAAGCAGCCTTGATTTCACCCAGTTCATATACTGGTTCAAAAATTATCTTTTGTTCCTTCTTACTTTTATAAATCTCGTCAACTCCATCCAAGTTTCTCACTCCTACCCTTTTATTGATATGAATATCCTTTCCTCATATACAATATTTGCTTTGCAGCTATATTCTGATTCCTTCTCTCTATGTAGCTGTACTACTTCAGTATATTCCTTCTCACTAGTCACACACTTTTGCTTTCAATCAATATTAATTCATACATTGTTAACCATGAATCTATCTATCCCACATACTTCTCAAGAATCCTTTTCCTATTAAAATCAACTTATTTTTGCTTCTCCTGTCATATCCAGCTCTTATTTCCACATAATAAAGTGGACAATAACATGTTTTATAGAGACATTCTTTTGATCAGTAAAAGACCACCTAATACTTCTTTTTAAACAATATTTGCAAATTTTAAAATATCCACCCATTTTTCTACCATTAATGAACATTCTACCAAGGTATACATATTCATCTACTTGTTTTAATCTTTTTACCATTTATTTGGAACTTGCAAACCTTCATTCTATTTTCCTTGTCAGCCTTGGTATTTGATAATGTAATCTGCAGATTTGTATTCATCATTATATCACAGTGTCATCTATAGAAGTATATGCAAGCTTATGCCCCTAATCAATATACTTCTAATCAGTGGTGGGTTCTGGACCCCGGTGCAGCCAGTACGCAGCGCACGGGGCTGGGCATCCTAGACGGGCATGCGCGCTGTGCATGCATGCACACACCACTGCCCTGCAACACCCACTGCTCGGCAGAGGTCGCGCTGGAGCTGCACACTACGCACATGCACAATGGGTCGGTCATGTTATAAACAACCATGGAACACAGGCAGGGGGGTGGGCCAAACGAGCCACTGTACCAGTACAGTGGCCGATACTCCTGGCTACTACTGGTACAGAGCAGAACCCACCACTGCTTCTAATATTACCACAAGTATTTCTTATACATTTATTCATAAATACATTAAACTGTCAAGGGGACATAACATATCTTTTCTCAGTACTGATCCATTTGTAAGGATTTCATTCATAATGTTTTACTTCCATCATATGTCACTCTTTTATTACCAGAAGCAAATTTCAGCATTTAGTATCTCTGGAATCTTTCTTAAAACCAAGAAACATGCGATAGCACTTAGAGTTATATACTGCTTTACAGCCCCCTCTAAGCAGTTTACAAAGTCAGCATATTGGCCCCAACAATCTGGGTCTTCCAAGGATGGAAAGCTGAGTCAACCTTAGGCCCCTCAGGACCAAACTTAAGGCTGTAGGCAGAGTTAGCCTGCAATTACAGTTGTCTACTTTGATGACACCTGTTTGGCTATGTTAAATGAAAAGGGCTTTTGCTGAAATTAACCTCATTTATGCTTTTTAAAATGTATATAATTCCACAGTGCTAACCACAATTGTTTTGAAATAAGTTTGATCACCAATATTTGAAACTTAACAGATTTATTTCCAAAGAGAATAAGGACAATTGAGGCCTATACTAGGTGACGTTCCTTTGAAAAATAATGAAATCTGCCATTCTCTTAAAAATAACAATAATAGGTCGCTAAATAGTACAGACTATTGACCTAACCAAAAGAAATACAGAGCTACAGTGGAAATGAGATCCGTCATCTAATCTACCTGGATACAGGAAATTTTTCATGTCTAGTTCTAGAGACGTGTTTCAATAAAACTAGTTAACTAATAAAGAACACTTTGTTGCACTAGACCAAAATTCTTGTCTTCATATGATGTAACATGCTTTTCACATATAGTAATGAAATCATAAGCATAACATATCTTATGCTAATTGTATAGGTTGTGCAGTTTAACTATAACCATTGTATCCTTATTTTTGATGTGCTTCACATACTGTATGAATGATCAATTATTCAAGAAAAACTAAATCCCTCTATATATATAATATAATAACAGCTTGCTATGGTCTTCTGGCTTCGCATTTTACAACTTTCCTTTTGTTTCTTTGGCTTTTATCAAGTTTACTATGCATTTTCTTACTTCACTGGGATCCACCGTGTTTCCCCGATAATAAGCCCTTGTCTTATTTTATTTTTTTGCCATCAAAAAAGGCATCAGGACTTCTTTTCGGGGGGGGGGGATGTCGTCCACTGACTCATCTCACTTGTCCATGTCACCTCAAGCCTCCTTTTCACTGTCAGAGGCCTTCAGGAACTTCTTCGACTGGCAAGGCTTTCCTGAAGGCCTCTGAAGCCGATAACAGAGCTCCAGATCAATCCAAAGCTCTGTTATCAGCTACAGAGGCCTTTACAAAATTCTTGTTGACTGCAGAAGAAGTGGGCTGAGGTGTGAGAGGCCTGTTTGCAACTGTCCAAAGGTAAGTAGTAGGGCAGCTCCACACACCCCCATCCCCACCCTAGTTTAATTTTTACCCATACACCGTGAAGTGGGTGGGGTCTTAATTAGGGCTTATTTGGGGAGGGTAGGACTTATATTGGGTGTACATGTAAAAATCAAGCTGGGACTTACTTTTTGGAGTAGGTCGTATTTTCGGGGAAACACGGTAACTGCTTTTTTACCACTGCATATAATGAAATTAAATTGGATAATGCTAAGGAAATTTTTTAGATTTTCAACTACGTTTATAATTTATGTATTTAAATTAATTACCTGCCCAATTCTAATGGACCCTGGGAGATGTACAAAAACTAAAAAAACCCATAAAAACATCAAGAAACATTAAATCAGCAGACAGCCCACATTAAAATACTCTGCTAACAAAACCCACAAAATAGTATAGGGACCAGTAAATAGTGACAAGCATCAAACTGAAGTTTGGGACCAAAGCTAGGTTTCACGGTTGTCCAGAACCCTAAGAGAAAGTGTGTGACATCTTTATCTTTCCAGACTCTAAGTCTTTCCGCTTTTCTGTATACATGATTTTCACATTTTACAGAAAGTCACATTAAAATAAATACTGAATTTAGTAATGTCAAGCATTCTCTAAAATAAAGCTATTTTCCTGATCAACAATAAACTGATATTTTAGCAGTTTTGAAGCATTGGGTTTTCTCAAGTTAGGATTTTAGATTTATAACATGTAGAAAATAAGAGCCAGATTGATCTAGTGATTAAGACACCAGGCTAAAAAGCGGAAGACCATGGGTTCAAGTCCTGCCTTAGCAATGAAAACCAGCTGGTTGACTGGGCCAGCCACACTTTCCCAGCCAAACCCACTTTACAGGATTGTTGTTGCGAGGAAAACAGGAGGAGGAAGGTGTGTTGAAAATGTTCAGTTATTTGTAAAAACAATAAAGGCAGGATACAAATAAATAAATTGCTTTCTCATATTTTAAAAAATAAGTTCAAAATAAATGATAAGCATAGAAGTCAAATATTACACTTTGGAATTTATTGGACATTTCAATGCACATTTTATAATTACAAATGATATAAAAATGTTCATTTAATAAATGTTAGATTGTCAATTATTTAAAACAAAATTTAAGCTAATACAGGTAATCCTCAACTTATAACCATTTATTTAGTGACCATTCAATGTCAGATCAGCACTAAAAAAAAAAAAAGACACGACAGTTTTTGCACTTATGGCTGCTGCAGCATCCTTGTGGTCACATGATCAAAATATAGATGCTTAGCAACTGGCATTTATTTATGATAGTTGCATTGCCTAGAATCATATATTTTGCCTTTACCTCTAGCAGCTGCAAGTGACACTTGGAAAAGTTTGGCCTGTTTTTCCTACCATCATCTCACATTGAGCAATATTATTTGAATGCCTAGTAGCCGTTTAAAGAAGGAGCTAACTATTTTTAAAACTCTGGCTTGATGGTTTGATTGCTGCTTTATCTTGATAGTGATTAACAAAGGTCAAAAAGGAAAAGAGAAACATTTCCAGTAACTTAAGATTTTAAAATATAAAGGTATGAAGAATAAACAGCCATACCCTTTAAACATCCATATATTTCTTTCATGTAGGTCAATTTTTACATTTTAAGGGAATATTTTTTTTAGTTGACATCAAATTCTGTTTCCAGCATTTGGATGGGTTTTCAAATCTGTAAAATTACAGTGAACAACCAGATAGCATCTACAACAATCATGCTGTTTGAGTTTTATATTTTTATTTTACTTCAAGTCCCCTGAAGTATTTTTATAGCTCAGAATAATGGCCCGATGGGAAGCTGATCCCATGTTGTGGAGCTACTGTCTGACACGCTCCTTTCTGCTTTCTGCTGGGTCTCACAAACTCCTGTCCCTTTCTAGGCTGGATTGATGTCACCTGGGATGCTGGTGGCTCTAACTCTTACCGTATGGGCGCAGAAGGAAAATTTGACCTCAAGCTTGCCCCAGGGTACGACCCTGATTCAGCGGCATCACCCAAACCTGTTTCATCCACTGTTTCAGGCACAACGCAGTCATGGAGCAGCTTGGTGAAAAACAACTGTCCAGACAAGATGACTGCTGCTGCAGGCTCTTCAAGTAGAAAAGGAAGTAGCAGTTCTGTGTGTAGCGTGGCCAGTAGCAGCGACATCAGCTTGGGTTCGACCAAAATGGAACGGAGATCTGAAAATGTAATGGAACAAAATATAGTTTCGGGCACTGACGTCCATGAGCCAATAGTTGTCCTTTCTACTGCTGATGGTATGCCCCAAACTGAAGTAGGTTCAGCATCCAGTGCAAGTACCAGCACCTTAACAGCAGATGTGGGCAATGAAAATGTTGAAAGAAAGCTAGGACCTGACAACTCAATCCGTGCGACTGGGGAATCCAATGCCATATCCATGGGAATTGTTAGTGTGAGTTCTCCAGACGTTAGTTCAGTATCTGAGCTAACTAATAAAGAAGCTGCTTCCCAAAGACCCCTTAGTTCTTCAGCAAGTAACAGACTGTCAGTGAGTTCACTGCTGGCTGCTGGAGCTCCAATGAGTTCCAGTGCAAGTGTGCCTAATTTATCTTCGCGGGAAACCTCTAGTTTGGAGTCCTTTGTCCGGAGAGTGGCAAATATAGCTCGCACCAATGCTACTAACAACATGAATTTAAGTCGAAGTAGCAGTGATAACAGCACTAATACTTTGGGAAGAAATGTCATGAGCACTGCAAGTAAGTAAAAAGTGTTTTGATAAACTGATATAATTTCTGTAGAAAAGAAAGTGTTCTTTTGAAATAACTTTGGGAAGGGCAATTGAATACTTAACATTAGCCATATTGCCCCATATTGTTAAACGTTATTGGATTTAATGAGGCTAATAACATTCACACTGTAGAATGTTCCTTGCCCTTTTTAAAAGGGTTTGGTTTCGAGTAAAATAACTGTTTTTCATATTTTGTTCATTAAAACATCAAACATAATCTACCCATTGCCATGCTATTTTCCTTTGATTTTATCTAATTGTATTAACTGTACCTTTAATTCTAGCCAATTGCTGAAGTCCCAAGGAACGCATGTGTTAACTGATATCTGCTCAGAACATTACATTTATATTTTACCTGATTTAGAAATACGTAATCTCTATGTTGTGACTTTGCCTGCATTCATTTTTCTTATGTAGTACTTTTATTGAATAGCAGATTTTGATTATTTTCAGTACAGAACAAAAATGTTTGAAATTTTTTTATAACACAACCATCAGAAAGTATAAAGTGTCACTTTGAAAACAAGTATATTCAATTTCTTATTAAAGAACTGGTAAAAAAATCAGTAATAAATCCTATTTTGGGAAATGGAAGATCTACTACTAAGTGTGTTATACTTGAATGAATACAATGTCATGCAATTATTTAGTTTTTGTGTCAGCCATTGCTTAGCAGAGCCATTTTTAAAAATGGCATGAGCACTGTTACATGCAGTGAAGAAATAGTGAAGTTGTTTTTTATAGAAAAGAACTTGAATCTGAAATGTAGCAAAAATGTAGCATAAACCATTTGAGGGGCTGCTATGCAATTTTCATTTTGTTTTGGAATGTTATTACTTGTATTTTGGGAAATTAGAATAAATCAGGGTATATAATGATTGAGGACATTTTTATGGAATCTTATGTAAATCAATGTATGTTGTATTACATGTTGCAACTTTAAACATTTAATTTTAAGTAATGAAATCAGTTAAATAGCTTAGTAGCCTCTATGATGTATTTTGCAGTTCTATAAACATTTTATTGAATCTAATTTTTTCATCCTAGAACATCATTAAGAAAGGATCACTAAAATACAATGATTGATAGCAGGTAGTGAAAGTTGGTTAGGAGTCTTCAATGTTAATTCCAGACTGTAGTTTGTTATGATGCACTGCTGAACAAACCATGGTGTACAAATGGACAGCAAATCATGAGCTGAAGTGGGGAAGATCTAATGATTTTCAAGGAGAAGAACTATTGCACATCCTGAACATACAAATAAAAGCACGCTCATTTTAAATTAATAGAATTGTTGCCTGTAAGGTAATAATTTACTTTGGGTTAGATGGGGGGGGGCAAATAAATTTGATAAAATAAATAACTAAAATAATCCTTTATGGTGGCTGTTCAGTGTACACAAATCAGAAAAAAGAAATTTCTAAATATATTTCTACTTAGAAAGTGAAATGGAGGTAGCAACTCCTACTTCAACCTTTCTTTTGATTCTCTGGTCCTGTCCTCCTAAAAACAGCTGATTGGATGCAGTGGTGCTGTGAATTTGTAAAATAAGAAACATTGTTGAACTCTCAGTTTCTTTGAACAGGGAAGTAACTCACATACATCATCAACTCTTTATAATCACAAAGTTTTTATAATATGGATTACGCATCATATAATTATTAAAACTAGATATGTGGGCTACTTCATAAAAATCACAGTTGCTTCTATACTTATTTTGATGTTTTGTTTTATTTAACAGTCTATTTTTTCTTGGCCTGTAGTTCTGCGTTATTACCATAAGCTTAGTGACTTCTGTTTTTTACTTTTTTAATATTGATTTATTTTTAATACACAACACTCATTAATGCAAATTGTACTACTTTGGATTATTTATTTTATCTTACCATATCTTTATAGCTTCTCCTCTAATGGGTGCCCAAAGTTTTCCTAATCTGACTACAACTGGTACCACCTCAACAGTGACCATGTCTACATCCAGTGTTACTAGCAGCAACAATGTAGCCACAGCAACTACAGTTTTATCTGTTGGTCAGTCACTTAGTAACACTCTAACTACTAGCCTAACATCAACATCTAGTGAGAGCGATACAGGTCAGGAAGCAGAATATTCTTTATATGGTAAGTTTTTTTTTTAAATGAACATAAGCAGATTTCCCATTCATGGTTTATTTTTGTCGCAGGTTTTGTGCTTAGTAATTTCATTTACTAAAGCATATCAAATGATTGTTTGCCCCTTTATTAGCTACATAGAGGTCTCTTCACAAAGGATCTCAACTACTGTCAATGTTTCCATATACTTCAGTTCTACACACTCCTCTTACATGGTTGTCACTTAAGGTCCTTCTATATTTATATTTTAGTAGTAGTGTTTTGAAATACAGGACATGAAATTTGAATGCAGTAGTAAATGAAACCATCATCTGTATACATGTATTGCACAGATTTATGGATAGTCTTCCTTAAGCTTTGCTACAGTCATTCATTTGAAGAATAGGTTTACAACAACTACAATAGCATACTTATAACAATATACCATAGATAGAAAATTGCTTCTGTAAATGACTTCTTCTCATTCTTTTTCTTCATAACTGTTTTCTTTGCTCCTCTAAATTGGTGAATAGTGTGGGTTATTTCATGAAAGAGGATTGGGATGTGAATAGATACATTGTCAAAAATGTTGAAAGCATTTGCAGTTAGTAATTAGCATTTCCATAGTGTTTTTAATATTTAATGTTTGTTCAAATTCAATACCTCAATTCCAAATCATTGTTGGCAGTTGGTTTGTACATTGTGTTTGGAAGCAACACCAGGGCTAGTTTGTTCTTTTAGATATCTGCAGCAAATTATAATTATAAAAGATACAGAGCAGAGAAATATGATTGGATTTAAATGGCCAAATTGAGGCTTATTAATGATTTCAGCATAAATATGGTTACTTATTTTAAATATATACTAACACACTTTCATGTATTTAACATCCTTACAGTCCTATTGCTTCAGAGCTAATTGAAATTACTTCCATTTTCAATCTTCAATACAATACAATCTAATACTGAGCTAGGAATTTTAAATATGATTCATTGAACCAAATATAGTGGTCTGCCTTATCCAAAATGTAACAATTAATGAATTGGTTTATATGTCACATTGAAGCAGGAGCAAACAACCTTGCTATGGCTTGGCATAAGATGTGAACCAATTCTTTAGAAACCCACAAAACAACATTGAAAAACAACTGAAGTGTTAACATTACATATTTGGCAGAACAAAACCCCAAGTATTTAGAATATTCTTGCCATAGGAAACAGCAGGAAATCAACATGAATTTTGGTCCTTATAATACTGATCAGCTAATTTGCAGAAACTTTTGTCATTTTAAAAAAAAGTTACACAGAAAAGCCTATGCAGTTCTAATTGAAATGTCTGTTGTTATTTTGAGGTACTACACCCAACACTTAGATCAAAGCATTGATTATCTCTTCCCATTTTTAGGTTGCAATAGTAGTTTCCTTCATGTTCAGGAAAGGTTCCAAATGAAGAGACCTCAATCCCAATTGTATTTATAATATGTGGCTTCCTTACATGCTTGCAAATATTGCCTTGTTTGACTGAGCTTGCTGTAGTATAGTCTTAATTATCTAAAAAGGGTTAACTAAAACAACAGCCACAAAAAAAAAGAACACGTTTCCCAATTATTATTATTTCAGACATTACCAACATACCAGTAGTTAAATATATGCATGCATTGGCTAAACAAAAGTTACCATGCTTTAAATACAAACCAGTAGCCAAACGTCCATGTGTCATCTGATTTCTGAAGTGTGCTTTGAAGTATATCTGCAAAGAGCATATACTTAATATAAAATCTCTGTAAACCAGTATAAAGCCAATTCTCTGATTCAATTAATTACCACTGAAGTTACTGTGCTCTAAACTATAAAATATAAAAACCAATAGATGTGAATTAAATTGGGAAGAAAGTCAACCTGATCTGTGTTTATGAGGGCCAAGAGCAGAATCAGGTGCAGAATGGTTCCTCAGTGAATCCTGTGCACCATTCTATTCTTGTTCCCCAGCTAATAATTTCCTCAAATCGCTCCATCAAGGCCTCAGCTAGTAGTGGCTGTGGGCCTGATGGGACTCTAGGTTGACTCAGTCTTCCATCTTTCTGAGATCAGCAAAGTGAGGATCCAGATTGTTGGAGCCAATATGCTGACACTGTAAACAGCTCAGGGAGTGCTGCATAATACTGTGAGCCAGTATATTATTCTTAAAGTGCTACTCTATTGCTACCTACCAAGGTAGACTTTAAACATGATAAAATGAAATGCATAGTCCTCTTGCATAGTACAGAATATTGGAGACTTTCTGCTAAAATTGCAACACGAGAAGCTCTGAGCCTTGCAATAGCTCTGCCAAGTTATCTTCATGTCAGAGAAAAGAATCAAGGACTATTTCAGAACATTCAAAACACTGATTCTTGAAAACAATTGCATTTTACTTAAATTAATGAAACAAACTCTGGGAAAATTTGTGCTTTGATGTAGGTCTGTGGACATCTTTATTGTTATCCACATAGAATTCTGATTTATTTATGTATTGACTTTTTAAAAAAAAAATATTGTGGTGTCCAAAACTATTTCAGCATGAAATACTGATCTACAAACACCTATTATAATAATGGAGTAATGGGTAATTTACACCCATTGTTAATCAAGTACTAACCCAGGACACTGTTAGATAGGACACTGAAATCCTATCTCTCTCCAAACAAAGCAATCAACATCTGTATTATTATCCAGTAATACGGTAGCCCTGGAAATGGCACTGGGTAACTTAAGTGAGGATCTGAGACGGGATTAATATATTGGGATAAGAATGTATAGACCACACTTGTTAGGTAGGCAGATTGGGAAAACAAATCGTGATATTTTGAACAGAGAACAATGACATTTTTCATCATATCTTCTGACTGGTGCTCAAGGATGTGCTCTGCTAGTCTTCTGATTGATTGTCTTATGTAGTGGCCATTTCAGTCCTTACACTGTATGTTCTACATGTCTCCTGTTTTTTTTTTCCTGGGGCTGCTAAGATGTTTTGGAAGGCTTGAGTTGGTTTGTGTGCTACACTGATGTCATGTGGATATAATAATCTGTTGCCGGTTTCTGAGATGTATTTGATGTATGGCAGGTAGTGTTATCCTATTT